TTGAAAAAATACAAAAAGAAGAATGCAAGTCGTTACTTCCGTCCATCGTGGAACCACCCACTTTGGAGCAGAAGCCATTGCCGTCGCATTTGAAATATGCGTATCTAGGGGATAACGACACTTTACCAGTTATTATAGCTTCCAATTTATCACCTACTAATGAATATTCTTTATTGCAGATTTTGGAGAAGCATAAAAAGGCCATTGAATGGACGATAGCAGATATCCGAGGGATAAGCTCGGCCTTTTGCATGCACAAAATCTTATTGGAAGAAGATGCTAAGAACTCTATTGAGAGTCAAAGGCGGTTGAACCCGAAGATGAAAGAGGTTGTAAGGAAAGAAATTCTTAAATGGCTTGACGCCGGTGTTATATACCCAATATTCGACAGTGGCTGGGTAAGCCCAGTAAAGTGTGTACCAAAGAAAGGGGGTATAACCGTGATGGCCAACGAGGAGAATGAGCTCATCTCAACCCGAACTGTGAGTGGGTGGAGAGTTTGCATTGACTATTGCAAACTCAACAAGGTAACGAAGAAAGACCATTTTCCTCTACCGTTTAGTGACCAGATGCTCGACCGTGTGGCAGGTAAGGATTTCTATTGTTTCTTAGATGGATATTCGGGTTATAATCAAATTACTATTGCTCCAGAAGACCAGGAGAAGACAACATTTACTTGTTCGTATGGTACGTTCGCTTTTAGGCGAATGCCCTTTGGATTATGCAATGCACCCGCGACTTTTCAGAGCTGTATGATGGCCATCTTCTCTAACATGGTAGAAAATATTCTAGAAGTTTTTATGGATGACTTTTCTGTTTTTGGAAATTCTTTTGACGCATGTTTAGTTAATTTGGAGAGAGTATTGGAGAGATGTGAACAAACAAACCTAGTCCTAAATTGGGAGAAGTGTCATTTCATGGTACAAGAGGGTATTGTTTTGGGTCACAAAATTTCCAAGCAAGGAATAGAGGTAGACCACGCTAAGATAGTTCAATAACGCTAAGGTATTGAACTATCTAATTCGTAGTCATGCTTTTCAATACCTTAGTTTAAGTTATTAGTTAAGACCTTATGTTATGTTCAATAAACCATTTGTTTGTACTTGATTTATTGGGAGGTTCCCACTGGTTGTTAATTTCATTTCGGGATAGGTGCCTATTTTAGTTTTCTTCCATTCGTTGAGTTTTGCCTAGTTGAATAATAAAATTACCTCGTGAGGTGGCCCACGATTGTTGTTGATCGATATTCTATCTAATTGATGTATTGTTGAATTGATGAAAAGTGGAACTTGATTTTTTTTTATATCTTTGTTGCATAGGGAGTTGGCATGACGTATTTGGGGTTAAGTTTAATTAGTTGAGTAGTTAACGTGACCTAGAAGTGTGTGGGAAATTCTGGGGCGTTACAAAAATCCTGAGGCATGACACCCTCAATGTCCTTGCTGCCTCTGAAAAATGCATCCTTAAAAACAATGAGTATAAGGTCGATCAAGTCAAGTTGGAAGAAGAAGTGTCTCGAATTCAGGTTCAAAATTCCAAGCTGAAGGCCAAAGCTGATCAGGTTAGACCTCTCATCACTCAATTAAGGGAAGAACTCGCCGAGCTGAAGACCTCTACAAGAAACGTCTTGAGGGYAAAGATCGAGAAAAGGAAGTCGAGGTCAACTCGTCTTTATGTTTGACCACGATTGAGAATTAGCCATGAACAGAACATCTAAACCAACGGCTGACTTCGACCCTAACAAAGGCACTTCAACCCCTTTAGAAGATGTCGAACTAGAACACCGAAACAGAACTGATGACGAAGTCGAACTTAACAATGTAATTGAAATAAACCGATTGACATACTGACGCTTCGATTTCTTCC